TTACTATACTACACTGTACAGTGTACACATAGGTCACTAAAAGCTTATTATGCTATATTATTATTATATCCTCATTGCATGGTGTACCATTTGTGCGCAGTGCGTCTAGATATCGCAGATATCCATTAAATTAATAATTATAGAGATATTAATACATTATCGACTTGTYCCATTGTGGCTACAACATGACAAGAAAATATACCTACTGYAGCGTAAAAATACCGATAGAATCCATCCAGTGATAACCGTATGTATATATTAACATTTAACACATTCTCGTGTCAGTTATCACACCACCCCGCACCACCAAATAAATTCAGATAATATGCTAAGATGTACAAGTGGCGCATGTGGTTCGCATTTCGAGTGTACTACAAGACAATATCTCCCAAATGGCCAAATGTTACTATTATAAATATTGTAAATTTTTTATAAAATAACGACAATATATTATTGGAAATATATCATTTAAAAGACAGAAAATGTATTACAATATTAAAATATATAATACACCTATATATTTATAATGTTACTATATGAATCATTAAAAAAAAAAAATGTATAAAACCAATACCTTTTTGAAAGGTAATGGAGATCGTCCTCAGARTTTTTAGTGTTCTACATATGTATTATAAGTTAAATTATTCTTTAAACCCAATTTTTACCCAATTTAGGTTATACATATAAATGTATGAGAAATAGTTTTCAAAATCGTGGCCTAAGCTTAAGATTACAATATTTTTACTAATTTAAAACTGGTCATACTTTAATCTGTAGTACGTCATKTCATTCAGCTGTCAATTTTATTGTTTTTTCCCAAGTCGGCAATGCCTACGCCGAAAGAAAAACCGCTGCGGAATATTATAATATTGATGCGAAACTAATATACTACCTATTGGATTTATAGATTACACAGAAAATGTAATAAACCACAACTTTCGGAGTTGATAGTTTGCGGTCGTTTCGAACTGACCTCTGAKCAGATACGTACCTACACTTAAGCCAATACCTYATTGCAATAATTCCAACTGCAGCAATGCTATTCGACAAGTTTATCAAACCGCTTGTACTGTTGCTACAGTTTTCGAACATATAGTATACAATTATTATACTGTCAAGTTACAAAGTTAAAAAATCAACAATAAAACCAACATTGGCAGATATTGGTTTTATTGTAGTTATTATGTTATATTATGTTATACTGCCAATATCTGCCAATCAATGACTAGAAAATATATCTGAAACGCTTTTACCGATTACCGGTGTACTTACTATAATGGTCAAAACCACAGTCTACGATATCGCACGAATATTTAAAAATATATATTATTATAAGTCATACAGTGGAGGCTCAAATAGGTTTTAGAGGTATAGGAATTTGACTTGGATAATGTGATGAATGAATAGTGTCGTCTGAAAACGTTTCGGACTCAAACTAATAATCTAACGAAAAGCTTTCGTAGAAAATGAAGGACTTGTGGTGGTCGCAGTGGAGAGGTGGTTGGGTGGTAATCGGTTGTCTTACCTGTTGGCCGGATAATATTATAATAACGTTACGTAACCCACACGCCGAGTTGTATACGACTCATATGGTATATTATGTTACACCACAACGATGGTGACGATGAAAACGAAATTTAACAACACACGGAAGAGGCGGCGTATTTGTACGTATACCTCACAATATCGTCAGTCTTGCAGCAGATAAAGTTGTTAAAATCACTTCGCGGAACACAATCACTATATTAGAATTTCACCGCGATATCAATCAATAGGTATTAGGTACAATATAATGCACCATTTATATTATTATTATAACTTTTAACAATAATAATATTATATTGTTTCGGACACACGTGTATAGCGGCGGCACCGGACTATTATGATATTATTTACCGCATCAGCTCGGCTCGAACGTCCACCGTCGTTTATTTTTGTACGCGTTCGCCGTCGACGCCGAGTGCCAACTGCAAACGCGACCAACGTGAAACATAAAATAAAACAGCTTGTGCCGCCACCGCTGCCATCACAGGTTTTCTACATCTTATTAGGTACCTACATATATATAATGTGCGTATTGTGCGTGTGCACGTACGAATAATCGCTGTGCGGCGAAAACGGTTCCGTAAACGATTATTTACGAGACCGGATGCGACCGGAAGTGCGCGAATATATATCACCCCGGCCGGACCGAGCGTGGCGCGCCGCTTCCGGTGCGGTTCACGCGCGCGAATTCGCTCCTGGTTCTTTACGCGCCATGTGGCCGCCAGCCAACACACCGATATGATGGTATCAATAATAATAATAATATTTCGCCGGAGGTAGGTACGTCACACCACAATAATAATAATAATAATAAAATACATCGTAAAGCGTTAAATTATATATATTATTGTGTTATTATAAACAGAAAGACGCTGCGCACCTGCCAACGATCCGTGTCACTATTTCTGAAACTTCTGTTATTTTAATTTTATATTAATACAAGCACTCGGGCAAGACACATTTCAGGCCAACGCAATTTTATTTTTGAATGTATGCAAAATCCACTGAATATTATACGATGTTATTATGCTTACGTATTCATACTTGGACAGTTGGACGAGACACAGGCGTMGTCATTCCACTAGTTTAGCGTTTGACTAAAAAGTTATTATTATTCATTAATCATAATGTATTGCAATATCGATACAACTGCACGACCACTTACGATTGATTGCAGGTGTAAATGCACTATTTTACTTATACATATATTATTAGAAACGACAAAACCTTAATGGAAATGCTGGATGTAAATTTATAATGATAATGTGTGACAGAGATTCCTATATCTTAATCTTTAGACAGAGACAACGTCATGTGTAGCGTAGAGATTGTTATATAAATGATCTGATGTATTAAAGGGAACGTTGAAAAGTAATCGCCCTGTAGGCCACAAATTATAATATTTTCGGTTATACACGCCGCAATACAAGTACAACTAAGGTAAAGTATAATAATATTTCACKAAGTGGTATAATGGTATTACAGCGCGATAAATGCCACTTAATAGCTTATGGATTATATATTATGATACCTATTGTCAATAGGCTATTGATGGGTATCGATGTGATTTGTTTGAATGACGTACAATAAATAATAATGTAATATTTATATTAATATATTACCTATCAAAGTCGTACAATGTTGATATACGCACTATACCCACCTTGCAGTTAGACCTTGACTTTAAATCGTATGTATATAGGTTTAGGTATAATAATAAAGTCATCGAAATTGAATTTGCATAAAACAATACAAAAATTTAACATTACCGTTAYAAAAATACCAAGAGACCAATTATATATGGGACGTCGAGGGGGAACTCTCGGTAACAAGTTTTAATATTTCAATCACCACCAAACAAACTTTAGATATGTCACTCCCTAGGTGTCCCCCC